CCTCCGGATCCACCTTCAAATGATTCTGCTGGTGTTAAGACATTTGCAAGGAAAAAAGTAATTAGACGTGTGGCAAAAAATGATCAGAATGAAAAAAATAAAGATGTACTTCCAAAAGAAGAGAATGAAATGGATTGCTCTGTGGATAAGTCTAAGGACAATTCAGATGTCAATGCAACAGCTACCCAAGATACTGTTGTGAAAACAACTGTGAAAAAGAAAGTAATTAAGAGGGTACCTAAAAAAAAGGTTCCTGCAGTGGTTTCTAGCGAGGAAGCTTCTAGAAAAGGTGATGGGCATGAGAAGAAGGTAACAGCAGATGAAACACTCAATGTGGAGAATCCCACTGCAGATGATAAACAAGAAAAAAATATTCCTAAATCAAAGTCGACATCTTCGCCTACTACATTGAAACTGCATGATTCTGTAAATTTGAAGAAAACTGAGAAAGAGGAAATGATGAATGAAAATGAAGCTGGCAAGGAATTCAGTCCTACATCCAATTCGATTGACAAACAAAAAGTTGGTGAGAAGGATAGTAGTAACGGAAAGAGAGAAAAATCCAGAGATGGTGAACAATCAAAAGAGGAGAAGGAGAAAATGAGTAAAGATGTGTCTAAAACCAAACCAAACAAAGAAGTAAAAGAAAAGAGAAAGTCTGAAGAACCTCCTCGACATCCTGGGTTGATTCTACGAACTAAAGGGAGCAAGGATTCCAAAGTAGGTTGATTTTAGCCAGATCCATTTGCATGAGTAGTTTGACAGTGCATCCTTTTAATAATATATCTTAATTGTATATCTTGTTTCTATTATGCAATACAGTTTCGGTCGCTGTCGCTTTCTCTTGACTCACTCTTGGAGTATACAGACAAAGACATTGAAGAATCGACATTTGAGGTACCTTCTTTGCTGCAATGAAGATTTTCATTACCTTCTGTTCCCGAAGTTCATTCTGTATTAGAGCTTTCTACTTACTGATTCATTGCTTTTTTCTTTTTCCTTCACAGCTTTCACTATTTGCTGAATCACTGAATGAAATGCTTCAGTATCAGATGGGAAGCCGAATTTTAACTTTCCTCCAGGTTGCATGAACCTTTCAGGCAGTTAAATTATTGTTCTGATGATCTTAAAGGTTTATATATTTATTTTATCTTTTATTTTGGCGTAGAAATTGCGTGTCAAGTTTGTGGCAAAGAGAAATCAACGAAAGCGGCCGCGGGAGGAATTACACAAGGAAGACAAAAAAAAATCATCACCAAAACGGTCAAAGACTATTGATGTTCCTAAATCTATCGATCCGGAAACATCAGGTGCATCTCAAGTGGATGCCGTAACACCTGCAGTGGAGGGGAACAACTCAGCTGGTCATGTTGATGAGATGAAGATGGAAACTGAAACAGATTACGAGCCTGAAGAAGATCCCGAAGAAGATCCTGAAGAAGACCCTGAAGAAGATCCTGAAGAATGCGAGGAACTGGAGGACGCGAGTTCTCAACCCAATTCATCTAATGAGGCATCTCCTCTCTCTATTATCCATCCCCAATAACTTCTCCTTGACTTGTGCTTTATAATATTAAGTTTTTGTTTTTGTTTTTGTTTTTTTCGTATTCTATATTTTAGATTTCTAATGTATTGTGTGCTTAGGCTCAGTTAATGTTATTGCATCATGCATAAGTTTAGTGAGTTATTGCCTCAGTGTGCTTTGAACTTCATTAACTTTTGTTACGTGTGATATTAATTTTTATAAATTTCTATTCCACAAGATAATATTTTGAAATTGTGTTATGTTTTCCTTGTGATAATAGAACGACGTGGATGCTATGGTTGAAAACAATGAAGAGAATGCTACAACGGGAGCCAATGAAGAGACTGAATTGAACGAAGAGGGGAAGACAGCATCAAATAAAGAGCCTGAAAATGTTGCACCGAATCAACCTGACGATCCCAAAGGGTCCGAACGGGAGAGCCTCAGCAAGAAAATGACGGAGTCTGTTGAAAAAGGGACAGACAATGAGATGAAGAAGAAAGAGGCTTCACCTCCCAAGGAGGCAGTGGTAGACAAGGAGCTACTGCAGGTAAGTTTTACGAACCATACAACCTAAATTCTTATGAATTCAAATTAATTTACGTTGCTAATTTTGGTTAATCTGAAACAGGCTTTTCGGTTCTTCGATCGAAACTTAGTTGGCTATATTCGGGTAAAAAATCTAAACCTTCTTTGATATTAACTGATTCCCAGCGAGGGAATTAAGAACTCACAGCAGTTTTGTGGTAATCTATCAGGTTGAAGATATGAGAATGATGATCCATAGCATGGGGAAGTTCCTTTCTCACAGGGATGTAAAGGTGGGTAGTTGGTTGGTTGGTTGGTTGGTTGGTTGGTTGTAACATAAAATTGTGAATATATACAGATATTGATGAATGGTTTCGACCTCTCTCTCCTTTTATCAGGAACTTGTTCATAGTGCATTGTTGGAGTCGAACACCGGAAGGGATGATCGGATCCTGTATGGCAAACTTGTACGAATGTCTGACCTTTGAAATTGTAGTGTATGGACCTCTGACTCACCCTTTTTTTCTTTTTTTTTTTACGTTTCTTTGTTAGTTTTTTGCCTGACTGATTGTTTGAAGAACTGGGCAGTTTTGAATGTTTCCATGTTCATACCTCAGAATTTTAGGCATTACTAGAGGCGAGGGGAATATATACATTACTTTAATGTACTTCTATATAGTACAAGAAAAATGTTATTTTGTATCTAAAACATATTGACATAATTAGTAAATTTATTTTTAATCATGCTATTTTGTTAATTTAAACAATATTTTAACAAATTTCTTGATTTCTTGCTTAGAATTTCTGGAAATATCCCTTTTGAGTGAACATAAAATTTAACAATTTTAAAAAAATAAAAACAATGGAAGCTTTTGTTTATTTTTAAGGTATTAGAATAACCATATTAAAAGTTTGTAGCACGATGGAGTGAAACTTGAAATTTTAAAACGTTAATTAGTACTTAGGAACTAAATCAAATGTATAATCATATTTAAAAAGTAGGGATGTGAAAAGCCATAGTTCCAAAATTTGTGAGTTATCCCCAACATGAATTTGTATAGATGCTTATTTGTATGGACTAGAAGCGAATATGCCTCATAGACACTGTGTTCTTTGTGTGGTTGCTCCTCGCTTCTCTACCTTGTCCTCGCCAGCCATTAGCTCCTCATTATTGCCTTTGTTTGAAACATTTTTACTCGTGCATTCTACATGAACGTAAACAAGGTCAACTGAATCTTTAAAGCGGGACACTGAGAGAATTCCCTTTAGTAGAACAGGCTCCTTTTCGGGCAATGAGATGGTGGAGTGGGGTCTCATTGTTCAAGTCTTGAAATCATTACTTAAAAGAACAACTCTTCTACTTTTCTTATAACATGTAACAAAATGGGTTGGTTTTCATGCAAACAGGGAAGTTACGTATGAAAATTTCTCTGCGCATTACAGAGTCTAACAATCCGGTATTCTCAAGCAAGTGACATTATATAATTGGGAGTTCCTCGAGACTTAAGTATTTGAGTAAACTATCTCAAGCAAGTGATATTATATAATTGGGAGTTCCTCGAGTCTTGAAAGCCTTAGATACGAGAAAAATGTTTAGAAAAATTCCAATAACTTAAAGAAAAATATGAAAGAAAATTGTAAAAAATTAGGGAAACAATCCCTAGGAGCAAAATGGTCCTTTTGACCCATTTTCCTAATAAGGGGTTATAACACCATTTTGCCCCATTTTCCTAATAAGGGGTATGTTATAACCTTAAATCTTATTTTGGAGGGAGGAGAAAAAGAAATAACTAAAGAAAAAAAAAAAAGAAAGAAGAAGTTGGGTTTTAAGAGAAAAGGAAGAAGAAAGTACAAACTGTTCTAACCATTGAGATAGAGTCCAAATTTAGCTGAAATTTCCTTTGTAAGAACTACTTAAGACTTGAGGATATCAAGTCTGGACATTTGAATCGTTCAAATCCATCAATACATGAGGAGGAGTGAGAGGTAAGTTTTCTAAGTTTTTAGTGTGTTGTTCTTGATGGAATTTCTCACAAGTTTTTTTGAACGAAGTCGAAATTGAATTAGATCGTAAAGTGAAGTTCCATCGATCTTCAAGAATGGTAAGTTATGTAGTTTGGACAAAATTTAAACGTGTTTATTTCTCTTCTTAGTTAATGCAATGGAATGAGATTAATTTTATTGAAAGGATGAATAATTTCTGCCTCTATGCTACCTTTCCACTCTGACACCTATACTGCTGAGCTAGGTCTAGGTCGGTTAAAGTAGTACGTCAAGATGACTAGGTACTCCAACCTTATGGAAATGGCTAGGACAACGTGTGTGTGAATTTGATGGGAGTGGTTTTGAATTAGAAATCATTTGTGTATTTTTTTTTATTTTTTTTTAATGATTTTAGGTTGGTAGAGCTTATAGTTTTCTTTGGATGGCTTATGAACTAAGACAATTTATTATTGGCATACTAATTAAATTATTATTTTTAAATGATGATTGTGATGCATATTGAAAGTACGAGGTTGATGTACGTGTGAAAGGCTATTCAAGGTTGAAGCACCTCATGCATTTGTGTGCCCATTAAAAGTTCACAAATATTACCCTTTTATATGATGATAAAGGAATTGTCTAGGCACATCGTTAATTGATTGCACAGCACAATTTCGTTTACTAATTGTCAGCTAATCATTAATAAGACATTATATAAACCACTGAGCATGTATTTACATATTTCGACCTCAATAATACAGTAAACTATAATACAGTAAACTTGAAATGTAAGCCGGTGAAAATTTAGGAAAGAAATTAAGTAATCGAAGACGCAGAAATTTCGACTCTAAAGCGTGAAGAACTCCCAAAGGACCAGCATATTCAGGTCCAATATGTGGGCGTGGAGTAAAAAAAAATCAAAATTTTCAGTACATTTTTTATCAACCTAGATTTTTAAAAAAAAAGAAAAAAAAAAGAAAATACCTTTATCGAAATTCTGTTAAGAGCACATGAACTAATATAAAAAATGCAAGTGTCTAATAATATTGTACAACAATTTCCTCACCCACAATAGGAAAAGTGGCAGTGGTGAGTATAATAGAAAGAAAAGCATTAAACTAGACGTACATTGGAACTGATTTTAGTATGGTTTCTGCCTGCGGCCATGTGAATGTGATGCTGACGAAGGTGGTCTCCCGTTTCCTCTTCTATCAAATGCGTAATACCTATTATTTCCATATTGCTGTTGTGGGCCGCCGCCGCCATTGTTGCCTGCTGGAGGAGGCCGCCCCGCACGTCCCTGATGTTGCTGACTACTGATACCCGAATCTGCAGCGAGTTGGTTGTAGCTGTAACCACTTTGATAAGTTGGAGGGTGGTGGGATGTCGGTCCATTAGGAGGATAGGGAGGCACATCGCCGTGACGAGACCACGATGTCGATGTAGATGGGTAATAAGCTTCAGGATTCTCACCATAATGTTGGGAATTCATTTGATTGTGTGATCTACTATTGTAGTGTTGGGAATGAGGTCTCGGGTCATGGTGGTATACTGGGCGTGGCTGATGGTATGCATCATCTAGGTGGCTGGGCATTGCGTTGGGATTCATTGGTCGGTTATGACCTTGGGAGTAGTTCGGTCTGCCACCAGGTGGCATTCTGTAATCGGCTTCCTGATCTCGTGATCGATAATCCATATGTGGATGTGGGGGATGCCCAGGGATGTAGGGTTGCACGGTATGGGAGAGCGAGGGTGCCTGCTGCCAATTGTAGTGACCCTTTCGATCTCCCCCCCTAACCTGCAAGCTGTTGGCAACGAGTCTATGTGCTGCATCTCCTAGATGTCGACCTGTAATAGCCCCGGGAGGATTCGGCCTGAAAAAACACAATGAATTCTCACCAGAAGTAAGTTTCCAAATCGTTGGCTATGAATGAAAACGCGTATTTTACCAATAGACTTTCACTCTCTATAGCATAGAGTACCTTGTACTATCATTGTATCTTCCGTTGTCATGATGATGCCTCCTACCAGAATCTTCATGCCACAATACAGGTTCAGGTTTCATGTCACCCATGCTCACAATCTGCCACAAGACCACGTCGTGTGAATTTAAAAACAGAAAGGTACTGCGGATTTAAACAAATGGAAGAAGCTATAAACAAATAATGTACCTTTGGAGGAAAGTTCACCCCAGCGGGCGGTTGAGTGATATGCTTGTGCGCGTCTGGAAGTCGATATATAGCACATCTAAATTCGAAGAAAAATGAAAACGTGATCAGTATTTTTGCTTCTTCAGATGTTGAATTCAAATATAGTGGAGCTCAAGACTCTTACATGACTTGATTATCTATAATATCCTCCAAGCCCTCAACTGGAGACCTGAATATAGGAGGGCAGAGCTCTCCCGAACATGGAGAGAGATAGCCATTCATTCCTCCACTGCAGTTAATTAGTTCAAATCAGAATCAGGTTTGAAACAGAAAACTATAACTTCTACCAAGAAAATGAGTGTGGCACGTTAAATAATCAAAGTTTGGGGAGGACATTTAATAAACATTTCCATGAGAAATTAAGCACATGGTGACATAAAGAAACCGAGTTGCCTAGAGACCAGAGTTCGGAAAACCTGTATTGCTTTCTGTGTGTCCGAGCAAATACATAAAACAAAAACTTTTAAAAAGCATAAAAATTAAACCTACGATGAGTACGATCTCGAAGGTTATCAGATTTGAAGAATTTGCATGCTAACACAGGAAGATGTGAATATACCATCATGATAGTACTAGTATGCTCGAGAACAAAAGAATTTTACATGATACAAACCTATGTTCAGGGTTCATTTTTTCCTTGACCTCAATACGTTCTCTCTCTCTCAACTGCTTACAGCGGTTGTCAAGGGAGTATATACTAACAGAGAGGGGGTGAGAAGATGTCACAAAAAGCATGTCAAACATCACACTATTTCTCCGCGCTTCTTCTTCCTGCGGAAATGTAAAAATACAATTATTCAAAGAGAAGCAGGGATATGAATTGATTTTTTCTGTATTTTATTTTCCTTCTTGATGAGATACAAGTCCGAACCACAAGTTAGTAACTCACCGTCAATGTATGCTCAATTTTGTCAACCTCGGAAAGAAGGCGGGCTTCATCAATGAAAGGCAGTTTGGCAATACCCTGCAGAATAGTTGGTACAAATTATTAAAAGCAGCAATTTGCATAACCTAATTGAAGCCAGTTCATCAAATTAATTAATGGCTGGAAGCAAACAAACCTGCCAGGAATATCGTTTACCATTCATATCCACTTCAAAATCTGACGCATTAAACCAAAGTTAAGAGAGGAAAAAAAACTTAGGTAACCATAAAGCAGCCATTTTTTAACAAATGCTGTACCTGTAGGATAGAAGTCAATGATAGGTGAGTTCTGATCTGTCATCAGTTTTCGATACTTCTCAGGGAGTGCATGTGCGCTGCAAAAAGTGCAATGTAAGAACCCTTCGATAAATGTAAGTTACATTAAAACACACACACACACACACACACACCTAGCAGCAGGGAAGACACCCAGTAGCTGATTGAATGGCTTGAAGGGAGTGCCTAGATTGAATGATATATCCAGCTCACCAAGGCCTATGAGATCGGAAGCAAACGGTGCATAATGATATGGATAAAACCTGAGGAAGAAAATGACAGAAGTAAACACTTAAATGCACATCACAACAACAAGAAAAATTGAATACATATTCAATTACCCAGGACTACTCCACTACAGATGAAATTATGATAACAAGGAAACATAAAGCAATAATATACAAAAGAAAATTGAAGATCATAAAAGCACCAAAGAGAGGAGACTAAGCAACTCACCATTGCCAAGAACAGACGCCTTCATAATAATAGTGCATAACCCAACATAGCCCTTCTGTGTACCTCAAAACCTGACAGAAAACAAAATATTAGCTTACAATCATAGTAGATGAAAAGCATAAAAATCAACAGTAATTCACTTCTAATTAACTTACAACATCCTTTCGCGTGTCATCAAGTTCCTCGGGAGTATTTGCAGAAAACTTTTCATTATAATACCTCTCTCTCCACCCAGGTACGCCCAATTTAATCTGACCATCAACATTCATTCAGCTTAAGAGATGAGCTTAACACATTGATTATATAGTACTATACAACCATGAGTAGACTATTAATAATATTGAAAAAAGAATTTTGAAGTCATTTAGCTCCATGGTAGCATATGCAATAGGAAGAAGCATAAGGGAAACTTCAATTAAAAAAGAAAATTAGAAGCCTTAAGATAGATCAGTATAATATATGCATAATGCAGCCAAGCTGAACGGAGAGAATTTTCTAGATACAAACCTTGTCTTCTTCTGCATTATCAGTGTTGAAAACATCAGACTTTTCACGCAGTATCTCTTTAAGCTTTGCCTTCAATTCATTTTTGTTCTCATGGATCTAAAAGAGAAACAAAAAATAAAATATATAAGAAGCATTCTAGACCTCAATGATCTACTTGAAAACTCCATGCCAGTAAGGCTCATGCCCGATTAAAGATTGGACATAGAAAATACTCCTAAAAATGTCTAATGGGTTATAGAATAACAATGAACTGTCGCCTGAAGCATGAAAACATACATCTATTTCCAAAGTGTTTTCTGCTTCAACAATAGCAGAACCAATAGAAGCCCCAGATGATGGACGAGCAACTTTGTTACGGTGAACGTAGGGACCGCTATCATCAGATTCCAGTGATTGCTTATTCTTATTTTTCAGTCCAGGTAATTTGGACGTGGCTTTTCCAAATCCTGATTGTTCATATGGCGAAGGACAAGGACCTGAAGCTAGACGAGATTCACGAAAACGTGCAACTGGAACTAGGGATGGTTGAACCTGAGGCTCTGCATCATCTCCTCTTCTTGTCTGACCTTTTTCACGCTTTATTCTATCTGCCTGCTTCTGGGTTTAGAAAAGATGACCAACAGTATGAGAATAGAAAGGATAACGGTCATGCAGCAAACAGGAATACAGGCAATTATGAGATGCAATCTACAAATTAACTAGAATAGAAGTCTATTAAAAAGTGTAATCCAACATGCAAATTATCCGTTAACCAACCCAACCTTAACACACAGGTGTGAAGCTGATCACAAGGCCAAAAAGAAAGAGAGAAGAAAACCAATATTTTTCTTGGTGGGGCACACAATATATAAGTAAAAAAAAAAAAATTGTAAATGAAAATTGTACTATACAAACACAGGAAAATAGAAAGCTTATTGCGTAATTTTGATCAACAAGAGGCAGTATATTGTACAACCTCCCCCAAAGAAGGCACAAAAATCCCCGTTTTAAAATATTGTTTCAGGCTGGTGTGACATCCTTATGAACATGCCATAAATTGATGACTTATGGGGTCTTCCGTGCACATACAACTCAAACAAACTTGGGGGAAATCAGCGAGAATCTTGAATTTCCGGATCTTATTAGTAAAACCCCTATATTCCAGCAATCAGTTGGTGCTCCAGGTGGCATTTTGATCTTATCAAATGAAGCCTCAGTCTAGCTGAAGATTATTTAGTGGGAAATTGCACCCTTTCTATTAATTTTAAACTTGCAGATGGTTCTTCATATTCGTTACTTGTTAATCCAGATTGAACTTAAAGAAATGGTGGATGGAAACAATTAGGGTTGCCCTTGTTTAGTGATGATACAGAAGTTGAAGAAGATTAAAGTGAAGCTAAGATGGTGGATAAGGATGTTTTTGACTTCACACATTCTCAGAAGGAAACTCTCATCAATCCAGTAACAAACTCAACACAAAAGAGCAAGGTAATGGGTTCTTGGAGGTCGAAAGAGATTCAAGGAGTTTGAATCAAAAGTGAAAAACCAAGTACCTCTCTGAAGGACATGAGAACTCCTTCCACAACATGGCCAATTCTAAATGAAAGAAAAGCTTAGTGATGGAAATACTGGATGAGGATGGCTTGACAAATGAGGAAGAGAATGTTAATGAAATTGTGGGGTCCTTCAAACAGTGGTATACGAGGAGAGGTCCTTCTCTGTGTATGAGAACAAGCTCAAAAGGTTGGAAGGAAATTGTTGATATATTTGAGTTGGTGTCTGGGCTGAAGATCAATTAACATAAAACTGCCATTTCGGGGATAAATCTTGAAGATTGTTATGAGGAAGAGGCAGCTAAGAGGTTGGGTGATGACTATGGAAGATGGCCTTTGAATTACCCTAGGAGTGCCGTTGTGGGTAATCCAAATTCTCATTTGTTTTGGGCAACAGAGGAAAAGATAGCTTCGAAACTAGCAACTTGGAGCAACCTTTTTTGCTCATGAGATGGAAGTGGATGAATGAATGGACCCTTAAATCACAAGTAACCCAAGAATTGGAATAAAGTTTAGAATGGATTGAGCTCCATAGCCTCAATAGATAAAGCTCCCATCACAAGCGGAGGGTTCTAAGTCATGAATCCTTAACAGTCATTTTTCAGTAAGTTCTTTAACTCCTGAACTTTGTGATCATCAAGCTCCCTTCAACGTTATTTTGTCCTATGGGTTTTTAGTGAATGGAAGTTAAGTACAGGGGATGTTATGCAAAGAAGATGGGTTAACTGTTACATGTCCCCAGAAGGTGTGATGTGCAGGTTGAATGATGAAAGCCAAAACCACATTTTCTTTCTATGAGCAAGATTGTTGATTCGTTTGGGTTTAGTTGGTGCTGTTAAAGGTCGAATTGTCTGGACTAAGTTGAAACTTTGGCTTGAGAGGAACTAGAGGGTCTTCAAAGTGAATACCACTAGGATCAATGAGTTATGGGAGTCTATTATGCTTTTTGCCTCTGTTGTTCGCTTTCTAAATTTTTTGTAATTACAATACGAATATATCAGCTAATTCAGAATCTTTTCTGTAAACCTTTTGGCCTAATGAGGATATCTCATCTTCTCTTTCTGCTGCATAATCTCCCTCTTATAAATACATATTTTGTTTCTTAATAAAATTTTAAAAAATAACAATAAAAACTCAATCATCTCTCTACAATTCCTTTGTCTAGCAAAAGCAAAACCAAACTCGACAAAAAACCCATTCCAAACAGCAAAAGCCCTATCACAACACCAGAGAACAAGATCAAGGCCCTCAGGAGCTCTCCTACAAAGAATGCAAGACCAAAGCCCCACCAAAGTAGGCACCTTTCTCAACACCCTATATCCAAGGTGTTAAGCCTGCAGTGAAGAACTTGTCAGGCAAAAAACTCGACCTTTTTTGGGATTTTCAACTTCCACTACGATGCAAAAAGACAGAATCACTCAATGAAGATGGAGGAGGAAGATCGTCCAACAAAGGAAAGAGGACCCACACAACAAGCCTACAACCAAGCAGGGGCTCCAACAACAAACATTCCTCCTTCCGAAACAACGAAACTCACCAAACAATGCAAGGAGGTTGACAATATCCAACATTTCCCTATCGAACAAAAAATGTAGGAGCCCAACAAAGGTGTGATGGACAGAACCAAGGATGAGACAGCACCTCAGCCACTGAATGATTCATCATCGAGGATAAATAATATAAAAAAGGAACACAGAGCAGTGGGGACTATCCCCCAATTTCTTATTGTTCTAGAAAAAAGTGTCCCTTCTCATCCCCCGTAAAACAACAAACAAAGCAATAAAAGAAGGGGTACCGCTCAACAATGTCTTTCCAAGAGTTTCTGGAAGTGCTTTGACCCCACAAGAGGTCCACTTGACAGGGGAAGACCCACCTCACAATGCCCTTATGCCAAATCATACTTCATAAGAATTCTTTTCCTCTTAAAACTCGACGAAGGGAGGCCAAAATTCACACCAAAAGTTTGAAAATCATCAAACATAAGTAGGATAAAATTGTAGGCTAATGTAACAAGTGGCTTCATTTGGACCACTATAAGGATGCTCTCATTTGGAGTCGGATTGCCCTGATTCTAACAGGAAAATTATTATTAGCATGAAGTCACTCATTAAAGATAATTCAAAGGACCTCTTATTCTTCTAATGGAAATGAACCACTAATTTTAAAAATGTATTTTTCCACCTATCTATCCTTTAAAAAAAAAAAAAAAAAGCATTAGAAAGAACAGCTTTAGATGGAAAAGAATAAAAATAAATAATTAAAAGGCAAGATAAATCTAGGAAACATTCCTAACCTTAAAAAATTGCCTAATCCCCCCCAAGATGAAGGGATAAATAATATATATAACCGGTAATGGAATACAAAAACATGAGAAATAAGAGAACCTGATGCAGTCTAGCTCTTTTTTGGAATATTCTATCTTCATAACTTCCAACGGCTTGAATGAAATGCTCCACTCTTCGCAAATTTGGCTGGCATAAAAACCACAGTTACACGTTTCATGCCTGAGCTCACAGAAGGTATTATAAATAAATAACATAAAATAAAGAAACAAAAAAAAAATTAAAAACGTAATTACCTTGCTTCCATCAGTCAAGTACCCACCTAGTGCCCTAAATTCTTTCTTGTACACAGCCAATAGCAAGTTAATTGCACCCTGGAAATAAAGAATAAAAAAGTAAAGCCTCCATAGTAACTTACAAAAATTGCTTAAAAAAGAATGTGCATAAATTGCCAATGTAAAACAATCTATATTAGAATGTTTATAATTTATGTGCTGCAAGAAGAAATGTCCCCTAAACATAATAACTTGTGGCTCGTATATCCATTAATAGATGATTGATAAGCCATAACTCTTAAGCTTAGGTTAAAATAGCTGGCAATAATCAGCCTCCAAATAGAAATTCCACGGGATTTCTGTTTTACGATCAATACTAATAGTTCCTCCTTTAATCCAAGTTCTGAGATTATCAATATTTTTTCTCCGTCAGTAGAAACATTCCTCCATGTATTTATTATTATTATTTTTTTTTTTCATTCTTGATAGAGGCTAACAAGCTCAATGCTCACTTCCAAAAGAATTTCTTTTACCCTTAGATAAGAGATGACAAGGTAACTGATATCAAGTATGCAAAAATAATCATAACAATAATAATAACAATGGAATTTCCCAAGTCTTGAAATAGAATAATTCCATTTGAAAGGCGACAAGACTTCATTAACATGTAAATTGGAAGTTCCAATTATGTAATTTACCTCCCGAATCTCTAATGTGGGCATATGAGGTAAGAAGTCATTGCCAACAAAGAAACACATGAACACAAAATCATCAACAATGCGTTCAAGGTTGATTTCAAAGGGAACATTCGGAATACGCATTTCATGTTCCAAGTACTCTCTAAGTATCCAAATGTGGAGAAACTGCCCAACAAAAAGACCACAGAAAGTGAATAACAGCAATAAGGCATAAACAATTTTTCCTATTATTCCACCAAAGTACACAAAACAAACAAGTGGAAATCCTACCTGGTAAGGCTTTTTAACAACATTTTCACCTTTCTCATCAAACTCTCCAGCCTTTCTTTTCGCTTTACCCTCGCAGTCAGCTGCAAAATGACCCATCTGGCCACACAGAAAACATTTTTCTTGCTGTCCGGGAGTGAACACTACCTGAAGTTCATCAAGAACGAAGGTTGTAATTAGCTTATGGAATATAATGTACGTGTGTTGAGTATTTTAAATAATGAACAAGTGGCTTGTCCTCAGGCTGGGAGTGATACTTGAAAAGGTGCTAAATAACCAAACTCTTCATAAACTGTAGGAGCATAGCCAAAATACACACCTCACGCAGAATTGAAAAATGGACTTCGTGAGTAGCCAAAGCCAACATTATCAAGTCTGCATCCTGTAATTATAAAACCAAGTGATACAACGGATTCAACAACCATGTCACATAATCATGTGAATTAAATTAAGGACACACATTCAAGAGACGTGTGAATTACATTAAAAAAGCATGGAGAAAAAATATACCAAACCATACAGGCAGTGACGAGTATTTGGATCAAAACCAGGAAGATTTCTCTGAAGACGAATATAGGACATTATTTTGTGTTCTCCTTCCCCCGGAACATTGGCATCAGAAAGAATGACCTTCACATTTTAAAACTACCATCAAGCAGGGCAACCAAGGCCAAATTCGGCTTTGCTATTCAGTAAAACTGCAGTTTTTAGAATACTGCAGTCATGTAAACTTACCTTAACATTTTTCCAACCAGGGTCATTGTTTAGTCTAAGATGAATGTAGTACTGTAAAGCAATGGACAGCACTGCCATAAAGTCAGTTCCAGGAGTGATCACATTGGAATCAAAAACTTGTGACTCCTGCTTTGGAGGAAGCTTCCGTCCCTCCCTCTCAAACTCTTCTCTTAGACGTGCCTCTTCAGCTGCCTATGGGAAAGAAAACATAGCTTATCAAATGCTCATGCCAAGAGGTTATCTTTTTCGTACATGATAGTTCACATAAAGTGGATGCAGTAGAATACTTCAAACTATGCATCCCACAAAGGCAAGAAAAATAAATAAGAGAAGGAAATATCTTACATATGTTTTCTTATAAAGAACATATTTCATTCAAATATTAAAAAATACAACAAGCATCCTCCAAAAGTGTTGCAACTAAAACTCCAACTGGAGAAAAGGCAAAAGAGGAGAGAGAAACATGAATGGAAAATACAAAATGCTTGCTCCAAACGAATTCTAACAAAACACTCCATCTGGAGGTAATAAAGAAGAAGGGCACAGTAAATGTAGTGCCATCTACTAACTTTTAAAAATAACCTTGAGCTCTCTATAAATTTAAGACTCAATACCACCAAATCTAAAACTATTAACTATAAATGAGGAACTTGCAAATCATCTAAAACCTTTGGTAGTCAAGGAACTAAGTCATGTAATAGTCAGGAAGGTGGCATAGAATATAATACAACGGCTGAATGTTTTGGCTTACACCCCTCAACCTCAGAAAAGACTATAAACAAAAGTACATACTGCATCTGTGGCATCTTTTGCAGCTCTAAATCGCCGAGATCGTTGTTGATTCATTTTTGCCCTGGGGGCAACACCATCTACACAATCATTTAAACAGGAAATAAACAATAAGAACAGGCATTATCACACCTTTTTCTTGCCAACTTGTAGCAACAAAACACAAATAAATAAAAACTACAAACTCACCAATAGCCATATATAGCAATTTTCTAGGCCGAACCATGACAAAAAGCCTATCAATGTAATCAAACATGCATTGAAATACCTCGCTAAAAGTTGTTGGAGAAGGCTGCATCAGTAAAAAATGATGATCAAGCCAACATGCACAAAAATGTTAGATTAGAAGGTAACTTCATATGTATTATGTTTTTCTTTTAAGGTGAGTAGACATGTTGCCATGTTCCTAAACTGAAAATACAATTTATATCAAGTCACTCGTGGACTGACCACATTAGTTGATTGAGAATCTCCAACTAACAGAAATCCCATTCAGCATTAGTACATTCACTTATTCTGGCATGAAAGATTACTATCCCAAATTTATAGGATTATGTTTCTTCACTTGACATCAAATGAAAGAAATTCTTGATAAGGTTAGACATGGACTGACTACGTTATCTCCCTTGACATTGAAAGAAAATAGATCCTGACCATAGGGCCTAAATTCAATATGCCACACATTTACAATGCTATCTAAAATGAAAAACCACAACGTCACATCTATATGATGTCAGAGAGATAGAACTCAAAGTGTATATTGAAGTTTACCCTATCTTCAGGATGGAAGCAAGGATGAATTATGCCATTCATGTCGAGGTAGAGGTTATCAAATTCAAGATTATTTGGATTGGGTTTGCTTGTATCAACTGGAATGGAAATGCCATCTATTACAACTGATTCTTCCTCAATTACATCAACGACCACCAAAGGATACTTCTCCGCTAACCACCTATAGAAGGCCGGAACTCCCATCGCTGCTCACTTGGAGCCTAGAGAGTCTCAAAATACTTTATGCAACACAACCTCAGCTGAGATAAAAATAAATAAATAAATAAATATTTATTCCTGTCACTAAAAATAGATCAATGAGTTTTTGACAGAATAAATATATACTTGTTTAATAAAACCAAAAAATTGCTAGCAAGATTTACAAAACATAAAAAGAAAAGGGGGTCATCAAAGGAATGAACCTCTCTTCAAGAAATATATATAGACACATATATATACTTATATACTTATTTTATCTCAAGAAAATTATGTCGGTATGAAAGTGATTCATAGAACATATTGGATCAACATGTAGATGGTGGTATTCTTCTATTTGTCCTAGTGGTTCAAGTACCTGTCTGACATTCCTAACATTAAAATTGAAAAAACAAAATAATTAAAAAAAAACATAATCTCCATAATCTCACAATACTAGAAACCTGAACATGATTTACATTACAAGTTAGTGCCACTAATTTCATTCCAAAGTTCAACACAAATAACGCACTATAGGCAGCCCAATAGAACAATGCTCTAAAGTACATACAAAACAATGTGCAATTGAAACCATATTTTTCCGTTCGGTTTAATCAAATTCAATACTTGCAAGACTTGAGTACTTTTAACAACTCTATATACAGCACTTGATTTCTCAGTAATATAAATGAGTTTGCATTGGCGACTGACAACAGATCAATGAGAGGAATCCTTCCGATGTCACATGCACCAATACCATAACAAATCTTGCTACTGAATTAGTACCACAGTCAAGGACTCGGGGAAACAAAAGGGAAACGAAGAAACGTGTTCATGCTTCTATAGAACCCGTCTACGGGAATAGTGCGGTTCAATCTCTCTCCCGCTGAAGAATTCAAAAAAAAAAAAAAAAAAAAAAAAAAAAAAAAAAAAAAAAAAAAAAAAAAACCTTGAAGTCGTCTCGATTCAATCTCCCAGTAAAGAATCCAAAAAGATAAAACAGTATCCTTGGTATCCAGAAAAAGACCTTTTAAGGTGCCTGGAGCCGCCATCAACATTTATCATAAACATGAACGACATTGAATGGCAGGATTCTAAATAAAAATTGACCTAATCCAAATTTTACCCGAAGTTGGTTAAACTGAAGGAGACCTCAACAGCGAGCGACAGAGAGCTAAACGGGGCAGGGGAAAACTGGAGTGGACCTCAGCGATGGCAGCTGCAAAAGAAGGGGTGGGGGACCGTAAGTTAAGCGGCTGTAGCGAAGCACAGGTGTGGCGCGCCGGCGTGTGGTTGCAGCAGATATATATATATATAGAGAGAGAGAGAGAGAGAGCGCGCGCGATAGGGAGAGAAGAAGGAAAAGAGGCGGTGGGGTGGTGCCGGCGAGCCGACGTGCGGCTGCGGCGAGGGCGGGAGAGGGAGACAAGAAAAGAATAAAGAAAATGCGTAAGCCTTGAGGGATTGGTGGCGTGCGACTGCGGTAAGAATGGAAGTGAAGAAGGAAATGGGGAATGGGGAAAGAAGAAAGAGAAGGAACGGTAGGGTTTAGGTTTTTGTTTCTTAAAATTACAACTCAGTCCTTAGCCTTTTAACCAACCATTTAGGACATTAATATTTATTTATTTATTTAAATTAATAAATAAATAACTTAGTATATCATTTTTTAATATTCAACATGGTTGAAGAAAAATGTTTATAAAATTCATTCAAACTCAAGAAATATATAAAATAAAATTGTGAAAATTAGAAAAATTAAGTTAAAGTCAAAATTTATTTGATTAGAAAGATATAAAAATTCAAAAACAAAAAAGAAATAAAACAACGAATCACAAAAAATTTAGATGAATTATGGGTTTCTATGCAAGCGTGAGGACGAAGGACACGTGCCAGGCGATGGATGACATCGCGCGGCTGGCTGAGATGATGACACGTGTCTCGTGCCAGAGAAGAAATAAGCCACACGTCACCATGTTGTTAGTCGATTCGACCCGCACCCGAGGATCAACCCACTCCGCCCAACCCGAAAACCAAGGTGCATCTGAACGCCCGCCTAACCCAACCCAACTAGGAGGCACCTATCCATGTGTGCCACGTGTCTCGTAAGGAGGACGAGTCTCCTTCCCTTAAGCATGTACGTACACGCTCGTGGGAAGCCCTCTAGTCACTTGTGAGGCGCGCAAAGGTGTGTGAATGTCCTTTTGGCCCTCTTTTGACTCTCATTGGTCTGTTTTTCACTCCAATTTGGTACTAACCCCATTTTGACTTGAATTAGAAACTTCCCGAGAAATTTTAAAAACTTTGGAGCTCAAAACATGCGAGAAAACTAGCTCAGGTTATTCATGTAAGTACCCAGTCAAACTTTTTTAAGTAATACTTATAAGGATTAGTAGGACGTACTAGCATGTGAGCATTCCTTACCATATATGGATAGGATACGCACGTTTAGGACTTCAAAATAGAAACTTTTTATGAGAAGGCATCAAATATATGTTATTGAAATTACCAATATGCCCTTAGAATGGGATTCCGAGATGCGTGCTATTTTTATACTTTTTCGCAGAGCTAAAGAGAGAATATGTATGACTAGAAATCGAGTTGGATAATTCGAATGAGTAAGCTAAGTAAGATATAAGAAATTACTAAAATTCCTCTAGTCTAAGATTTTGAGATAAATATTGTTTTTAATGTTTTCCACTGTGTTAGAAATGAGGATGCACTATTGTGATCTGTGCTCCTAATGATTAATGGATGTTATCTCCCCATTGAGTATGCTTGAATGTTAGATTATGACTTTCATGCTTTAAGTAATTGATATGATCATCTCCATGATAAGCTTGCATGATTCTTAGATTAAGAATACCATGCTTTGGCTCATCGATAGGATAATCTCCCTAACCATACATGCATAAGAGAACCAAGACATGCTTAGGGCACAAGAGCTAGAGCGGTTTTCAGTTGACCCAAGTCATTACATTTCTAGTAGACCGAGCACCTTAGGATCATAAGCGACAATCAAAGGTCTAGACGTATGTGTATCCAGAGGATGGATTAGCTCAAGGAGATAGTCTTAAACATCTTGGAAAAAAGAGATGAGATTTAAGCTACCTAGACACCCCCTAAGAACCTAGTAGACACTCACGACAACCAAAGATGACTAAGATATCTCTCCATGCGCTAAACAGTATGAACATTGACACCCCTAAGAACCTAGTAGACACTCACGACAACCTTTCCACACCAGTACTTGTACTGTCAAGCTAAACATAGGCTGGTTAGGGTAGTACGTGCCCCAACCTTATGGAAATAGGCAACGGTCTCATAAATAGGGCACTAATTTGTAAACTCATGGCGTGGGACCACATAGGTTGACCCAATAGCGGGTCAACACACGGGGGGGTTGTCCCCTCCCTCAAACTAAGGTTACTTTATAGTCTTGGGGAAGGGTCCACCAACTAACCATATATGGATGAAGTTCAGATAAGCATACACCATATTATTCAATCAAAACTTTATGAGATAGCACCTCTACTTAAGACGAGGTCTTTCGCTGTATGGGTAAAGCAAGCTACCTAAGTCGAATAATAGAAATGTTGTAGAACTTATCAAACCCGTAGGGGCTAAGATTCAAATCTATGTTCGCTGTATGGGTAAAGCAAGCTACCTAAGTCGAATAAGTACTATTTGTTACTTTGTCTTTTCAGGCAAGAATAGTAAACTACCTGCCTCTACGCCCTTCAGGGATGGGTTAGTAAAAAAGGGTCATGATTCTCGCCACTAGGCACCCCTTATTTGGTACTACAGTAATATACTCCCAATGGCTACTCATATCCTCTATGGGTGGCAACTAAATTGAACGTAACAAGTAGACCCTAACCTTTGTTGGTTAGTTCATGAGTAGGGGTTGTGCCCTACTCGTCCCCACAAGCTACTTGATCACCCATGACAACTTTGGAAAACATAATTTAGTACAAATATGTAAATAGTAGCTCATGGTCTATGAAATTCACAAAAATCACAATTCACATCTTCTAACATGTACCAATTGGTCAAACTCACAACTGGGGAATAATGAGCTATCCAAACCCCAAATCAATTCATAACAATGAATAAAGGCATACAACATGCTCATCGTGCTAATTAAGTAATAATAGTCAACCTTAACATATTAGAAAGTATATAAATCAAATTATCTATCAGATATTTCACATTCATGCATGTGGAAGCTATATAACCGTGAATATAATCAGGGGATAACCATAAACATCATCAAAATATAATTCTCATGGACCAACCGTTAAGTATGGTACTAAATCATTTGCCCTCACTCCAAATCGACTCTACCAATATTTCTTAGAAACTTGCTCCATGCGATAACGTACTTAGTTATAGACTTCCCAGAATTATATCGGGTCTTCAAGTATGATCCACTTAACTAAGCTCCCTGGAATTGTCCTATAAAATGAGCCATTATGGAATTTGTGAGATAAGTAACCAAATTGGGATGAAAATTGGTTAAATTGTATGAAAAGAAAGGAGAAGTTCTCGGGTTTCAATTCTGCATAGGCAGTCGGATCGAGTCAGCTCTGGTCGATTGGCTGGAGCGGGTCGGCATGGGTCGGTTGGTTTGAGTGGTTCAGCATGCGGATCAGTTAATCACTTGGATTTTGGGTTGGTGCAAGAATTCAAGTCGGGTCAGACCGCGGCTCGTGGATTCGGCTTCCTCCTCCCACCTTCTTCCCGATTTTCTTCCCTCTCAGCCCAATGCGTCTTCTCCTCCACGAAAACCCACCATCATCCCTCGACAACAACCTAGATATGAAGACTCGCAAAATGCGATAGGGTTTTGGGGGGTGGGGAATAATGATCACACCACTAGAGGCTTTCCGTCGGAGTTCTTCCCTTTTCGGCAGTTTAAGTCCCAACGCCGGCACTCACGAGTTTCTCGAGTCTAGCTTCTCTTCTCTTAAGTTTTAGGAAAACGTGCTGTTAAAAGGGACGATAAATCTTGGGCTCAACTTGCCCCTCTTCCCAAACCTCATCATCCCTTGCATGAGTGCAACTTTTAGGAAGACGTGATTGTTGACGACAAACTCTAGGTTCTTACAATGCGTCTCCATAGCTCTTTTGTAGCAAGAGTTATAGAGTTGTACAATGTAATAGAAAAGTGTTTTGAGAATTTCGTGAGAGTTATTTAAACAAGTTGGTTTCAGAGCGAGCGTTTATTTTCTACAAGTTGGTATTAGAGCAAATTTTATTTTCAACAAATTAGTATTAGAGCAAATTTTCTTTTAACAAATTGGTATCAGAGCCGATGGCAAATATGATGGGACAAATGCCACTACCATAATTGACGAAGACGAACTACGAGAATTGGAGCATCCAAATGAAAGCTCTTCTCGATTCGCAAGTCGCATGGGAGGTGGCCGAAGAAGGTTTTGAAGAACCGAAGGATATCACGGGTTATATGGCGGCGTAAAACAAGGCGCTAAAAGAATTACGATCAAAGGATAAGGCAACATTGTACATGTTGTTCCGAGCTGTTGACAAGTCGGGCTTTGAGAAGATTGCAAGGGCAACTACTTCAAAAGAAGCGTGGGACACTTTAGAAAAGATGTTCAAAGGAACCGACCGAGTCAAGCAGGTGTGCCTCCAGACTCTGCGTGGCGAGTTGGAGAGCATGAAGATGAAGGAGTCAGCAATTCATGGAAAGTTGAATCGAGGAAAAACTTATGAATGGACCAGCTACAAGAAAAGACCTCATGATAGTTAATATGGGACCTCACCACCCATCAATGCACTGTGTTCTTCAACTCATCCTTACTTTGGATGGTGAAGATGTTATTGACTGTGAACCAATATTGGGTTATTTACACAGAGGGATGGAAAAAATTGCAGAAAATCGAACAATTATACAATATCTATCTTATGTAACACGTTGGGATTATTTAGCTACTATGTTTACAGAAGCAATAACTGTAAATGGTCCAGAACTGTTGGGAAATATTCAAGTACCTCCTAAAAGAATGTTTCTGACTACATTACACGTGTACAGACCGTGGCGAATCAGCTAAATCGAAACGGAGAAATGTTACCCGAGACGCGGGTTGTGGAGAAAATCTTGAGGTCGTTAACCGACAACTTCGAAAATGTTGTATGTGTCATAGAAGAGCTGAAGGATCTAGCAAAATTCATAGTCGATGAGCTTGCCGGTTCTCTCGAGGCACACGAGCAACGTAAGAAAAAGAAGGAGGAGCCACTCGATCAAACGCTTCAGACGAAGGCATCAATAAAAAATGGAAAAGTACTCTATTCACAAAATGTTCAAGGTAGAGGTTGTGGAAGCCGCAGGAATGGTCGAGGTGGTCAAGGCAACAATTACGAAGAAAACTATAAGGAGAAGAGACTGTCGAGCCAAGTAAATTGGTGTGGAAGAGGACGCAATCAGGGACGCGGTCAATGATACAATTCCAACATTCAGTGCTACAAATGTCAGAA